AGGATAGGAAAGACTGGGGGTGCGTGTTTAACCAGCCTTAGGACTGACGACTTATGATTATGATGAAAAGATGTATTTTATGCATTTTTCTTTACTATAAGGTCCCATGTAGGAACTCCCAGTCTTGAACGACGGGGCCTAGCTTGGACTAACTCTGGGCAACCGAGCTTCGGCTCTTCAACGCCGGCCCAGGCCTGGGTCGACCTAATGGAACTTTTTTTTATGTTCGCCCAAGCTTGGGCCAGCCCGTGAGCAGCCGAACCTCGGCTATTCGATGTTAATCCAAGCTTGAGTCAGCGACGAACAACCAAACCTTGGCTATTCGATGTTAGTCTGAGCTTCAGCCAACCACGAACTTTTAATAATATATATCTTGTACACAATATTGTTTAGTTGTTGAAGGACAATTGATTTATTTTCAGAATTTTACGTTGTAGAATAAGATACCCAATTTTTATTGCTAACAATAGTTTAGGATTGGGCCAACATTCATTGCCAGTCATGGGCCAGTGCTGTACATCGAGATTGGAAGAACATTCACTACTAGTCTTGGCCCAGTGCTGTTTATCAAGCTTGGACCAACGTTTTTTGCCAGTCTTGGCCCAATGATGTAAAATAAGCCTAGGCCTTAGTTATCATCCCAAACTTTAATTGAGGTTGGGCCAAGGTGGGTATGCATCTTTGGGCCAAGCTCTAAAAGGATTGGTGCAGGCTTGAGCCAACGTTGGGCCTATCGTCATTTCCTACATGGGTTCTTCTTCATTTTTACTAATCTAACACAAGGCTCATTCTTATTTGGATACTGCAATAGTATCGACCCTTGGATACTGCAGTAGTATCAACCTCGTATGTAGCAATAGTGTCAATATTCATCATAGATACAGAAATGTGCCCACCATCGTTATAAAACCGGTACTTATCAGAAACTCTAGAAAGGATAAACATGTACTACTACATCACTTTCAACGGTGCAACGTTAGAAAGTACTACGGCACCCTTCACCATTTTTCAATGCGATGTTTGGAAAACTCCTGATGGAAGGGTAACAACATGGACCATATGCTGCTGCTGCCGGTTACTCTCTGTCAGGAGATGGAAGACTACCTCCGTGACGTAAAAGCAGAAAGGAGCGGTACAGTACAGTACATCATGTACGGAATGTTAAATATTAAACATGTCTGTACTATTTCATAAAATAAGTTCGTTAAATCAATGTAATGTTTACAATTCATATTAATTTTATAACAATAAATGTAATTTATATAATAAACTTTATAAGAACTACACATTTTTCTCATATTTCGTACACCTAAAATACAGTGACTTTGAAAGTATTGAACAATAATATTAAAAGCAAAAGTATTTATTTAATCACATATATGACTGAATTACACATCATCTGTATGTTAACAGTCCCGGATCCTAACAAATTGAAGCTTCAACTTTACGAACACCCATTTTCTGTTCAATTGCCTTCAGATTGCTGTTACAACACATTCTACTGCATTTCTTTTTTATACATAATTTTCTTTAAGAAAATTATTAGTGTAGGTCTATATGTCTACATCATCTTACAATGATGAAGACGTAGAAGCGGTTTATGCAGATATTGAAGATGTATTAAGTTTAGTGAAATTGCAAACTAATAGTTGTAGGAGACTTCAACGCAGTAATAGGTGAAGATAAAGACGGTACACTAGCAGGTCCTTTTGGACTAGTCAATAGAAATGATAGGGGAGCTAAATTGATAGAATTTTGCAAACAATATGTAACTTGAACAAAAGTGAAGTACACTCCTGTTTTAAAGAGTTCAAAGCCATGGTTGAGAAACAGATGAATTGAAATATAAAAGTGTTACGAAACAGACAATCGCACAGAATTTGCAATGAGAAGTTATTTAAAACAATGTGGCATAATTCATCAGAGTACCAACCCTTATACCGCGGAACAAAATGGGATTTGTGAAAGATTTAATAGCACAATTATGGAACCTATCGCTCGTGAAATTACTATTTAAGTACTATTATAAATACTTCATGTAAAAATCATGTAAACTATATTGGTAAAAAATGAAGCTTGTTGTGTCGAGACAAATGTTATTGTTTTAAAGTATTGGTTGCACAGTAATATGTAAATATGTATGTACAACATTTCGTATTAAATGCGATCTAATATTTTAATTAATAAAGTTAGTTAAACACTTTTCAAATATAATACAGCCAAAACTACTCATTCGGCTATTGTCGACGATGGAGCAGCAACGTTTACCTATTTATTGTCTAATTGTATTGTTCCCATTCTATAGAAATGCCTGTTAAAATTAAGTATATGTGTCCTAAATGTAAAGGAGAAATCGATCAATTCAACTCGAATTGTATTCCGTCCAATTTTACCAAATATAACAATATGGAGGGTTATAAACACTGTCCAGCAAACTATTTTATTCGAAAGGGACCCACAACTAATGAGAATTAGTAATATTATTTAGTATTTTTTATGCTCTAAGTCTAACTGTATTTTTGATATATGAATACCCAATAGATTGTATTAGTTAGTAATAATAATTAATAAAAATAAAAAAAAATGAAATAGACTTTTTGTTTTGATGTGAAACTTCAATTGCGTTTTACCAACACATGCTTAATAGTAAAGACCTCTGCAAAAGCTACACATACACACAGACATACATATGTAATATTATAACTGTATCGTTCGAACGAAAACAAAAGTGTCGTTCATTATAGCTACTCTCATAACACATATTCATATATAGCTCATAGCAATTTGCAATTACACTATAATTTTTAATATGTATCATTCATGATCAAGTTCAGTAAATATCATTACTTACATTCATAAGCGATAAGGTAAACGGAAGTGAGTGTCATCAAACACAATCGGTTGCTTGTTACTGTGTTATGCGAGGGAAGATTAAAAAGTATTGGTTATATGGTAAATAAGATTAATAATAAATTGCTTATCTAGCACACTTTTTATAACTATAAATACTAGAATTAGCGAATAAAAATCAATCATTCTCTATCATCATGTAAGAAAATCAAGAATACAATTTCATACTGAGTAGTCTGTCCACCAATTTCTCGGTAAGCTGTTATCTCATTTGATTGTTTATGATTCTAATATTTTTCCTAAATTAGCTATTTTAGACTAATTTCGGGATAATGACAGGCTGCGAAGGACTTCCGCAGCCACATGATCTGTCATTCGTACTTCTAGGCTGTTTTAATATAAGTGCTTATTATGCCATAGGCGACGCTAATTTTACTGTAATTTGGAAGATTCTTCATCTTCCACCACGGCCTGTTTGAAATGTACGTCAAACAATTGTTATAATCTAGTATGTTCTTAATCAAAGTTCCCAAAAACAAACATGATACGTATGCGAGTATCCAGTTATTTGCAAAACAATTAAGTGCAACGAAAATAAAATTAGGATTAAATAAATACCTTACTATTGCTTACCTTGCTATTCGTAAATATTAATTCTGTTGCAAATTTCCGAAACCAAGAGGAAACCATGAGCGGGTCCTTCTCGCAGAATCTGATTTTTTTAGACGTAGTATTTTTTATTTATGTTTAGCAGTAAAAAAATTATTTCAAATGGAGTTGTTTTAATATTTTTCTTTCTGCGAAGACTGCCGAACGCGACATAGAAACAAAACATTCCTATTGTGGAAAGAGTTCCAGTGGACGCAGAATGTTAGATATGCAACTAACGTTGGGGCATTTCCAGAAAATTGTGCTCGCAATATACTGGGTAATTTTCAATCTCCTACTGCAATATTCCATGCATATTTACTATGAAGTTGAAGGAAAACCGGTATATGAAACAAATCTTTATGCCATTCAGACGCATGGTACGCGCTATCTTCCCACAACAATCGAAGAAATGAAGTCATTTATCGAGGTAAATCTTTTAATGGGCATAACGAAAAATCTAACTATAAGATTCAAAGAACGAATAGGTTTTCGTTAATGTATGGATCTCAAACCCATCCAATAGGGTTACAAAGGATGGATCAAACATCATCAGTCGTCATATGTTCTACAATTTCAAATGTACATGGACAAAACTAAATCTATTGAAATTTTAAAAAATCTTAGACGAGAACTAGTTTGTAAAAATCATAAAGTATAGGTACATTGATCATTCTTTCTATGATATATAACTTATGGGTGACTTGCTGGAGGAGAAAATTTATGCATGTACCACTGCAAAAAAGGGTAGCAGATTAGAGCAGAAAGATTTTCTGAAGACAAGTTGATGAAGGGCGGAGATTTCGATTGGCGCCTCAGTAACACCGGAATATTGTACGTAAAATGAATGGACAATAAATCTGCCAGATTTCTAAGCAATTTCTGTAACTCGGCACAACACTAGTCGCAAGAACACAGGATAGTAGCAAACAGTAAATCCCTTCCATGCAGCTCGCGAAGGATTACAAGCACATGAGCTACGTTGACAGATCAGATATGCATATTTCTCTGTACAAACTCAATCGTAAATCGTAGAAGTGCTGGCTCCGCCTTCTGTGCCATTTCGTTGATTTAAGTTTGGTAAACTTGTTTATTGGATACAGTAATCGAAACAAAGGTATCAACAGGATCACACAGAATGACTGGAATTGCGTGTGGACTTATCGGAGCTACCGGTCAAATTTCCAAAAAAGGGCGATGAAGTGCTGAACAGTCAACAAGCAATTCAACATGCCGATCGAGGAAAGGCTGGACAAATGCGCACATATATAAATTCACGGAAACAAAGTGACATGTGCTCACTGTAGTACACGAGCTAAGCCTCACAAAACACGTTGGTGTTGTTCCACTTGCGCTGTTGGACTTTGCTTGACAGAAAATTCAAATTTTTTTGCGCCAATCCATACAATGTAAAATTAAGATATATTCCTAGTGGTTACCAAATGGGCCCACGCTTTCTTGTCAAATATTCAAATAAAACACCGACAATATTTATATGAGGCAACATTTGTATACCTAATAGGTCACTTACATAAGAGTGAAACCAGTTTTAAACTAGTTCAAAGGAATAACTAAATCGAAGCTTACTTCGTGTTTGTACAATTAGAGAATAAGTCAGGATCTTCACTCCCGAAGAAATAAAAACTCTTTAGACATTACAATTACAGGGATTGCGTATATTCCTTCTCTACGTAAACAACTAGCTGTATTTTTGGATTTCAAGTTCACATTATAAGGTAGGACTCCTTCTCATC